CCAGTCAGCAGAAATTTCTTGGGAATAAAAGAGATCTTTTATAAACATAAGCGTGAAATGTAGTCAACACATGAATCCACGTGGTGATTTAAAACACTGCCGCACTGTCAAGCTTGTTCCTGAGAGTATACATATTTACTATTTAGGATCATACTCCTGTGACAGAATAATTGCTATTACGTTTCTGTGTAGACTCAAGCTTTAGACATCTGTGCCCCAGATCATCATTTGTTTGAAAAAAGAAGAGATGACAGGTGGCCGAAGGAAGTCTTGGATACGTTAATCGACAGAGAACAGGGCAAGCGATATTTTTACACTCTAAAATCTGAACCCACTTCTTCATGTTTTTCATCTTTACACCGTGCACAGTAAGACTAAATGATTAAACACTGCAGACCACCTAAACAAGGCAACAGAAGAAAATGAAATCCTTAGCAAGAGAAGATAGAGATGGCGGTTGTGTATGTCTATATTAGTCTTGGAATTCTGCATGTGCTTCGTGCGTAACTGAAACTAGAAAAACAACACATTTTTTTTTTCTCTCAAGACACTGTTCCTGTACTTGGTACTTGCAGACTTTTAGTAAGCTGAGTGATTAAAATTCTCATGCTGCTGACTGTGGTGGAGCATGCCTACAACCCCAGCACCCTGGAGGCTGAGGCAGGAGAATCACTATGAGTTTGAGATCAATGTAGGCTACCTAGTGAGTCCAGGTCCAGCTTGAACTACAAGGTGAGATCCTGCCTCCACACAACAACAAAAGTGTCTAATGCCATGAGTTAAAATTCTGAGCCTCTAAGATAAAAGTTCACAAAAGTTTCATGATGATTCCCCTGATGTGGCCATTGCTCTAATAACTCCATGACTCCTCCATCTGGGCAATGATGTATACACACACGCGGAGCCACAGGGCCCATAGCCATGTCTGTGATGAGATGCGCCCCTTTGCATGCTTCCAAAAGACTGACTAATAGCCATGCAACTCTGTAAGAATTAGCCAAGTTCACTTTTTATTAACTTCAGGGGTTTTACAATATTTGTTTTGTAAGATGTTTTAATAAATGTAACCAACTTAAATATTTTATTTTGTGTTACTAAAGAAAGAAGTTCAAAGTGATGGGAGAATCTCTACTTCTTTAAAGCTTTCCTATTTACAGGTTATCTGCTGTACTAAATAACTTATGCTTTTCATCATAAAAACAATGTATGTCATATTTTAAAAAAATAAAATCATACAGATAAGTATGAAATAGAAAACATCAGTTTATTTTCCTAGCTACCCTCCTTCGCACACAAGAGTTTCTACTATAGCTTTCTAGAAATTGATAAAGTGCACTTCAGAGAACCATTATGTAGTGTTTGACATCATTTTACATATACCAAGGTCTCAATTACTGATTTGACATACTGCTTTCCAACTTCATATTTTATCAATATTCCTTATCATGCACACACAGTAAAACCTGTGTAGCTTTAAAGGAGAGAGGAAAACTGAAAGGAAAATCATAATAGACTTAAAAGGCAACTAACCTTTTTCCACCTCATTCAGATTAGCAGCTGGCAGCGACAAAGACAGAAGAGACAAAAGACTTTTTACATTGCAGTACAACAGTAGAGCACACGAAGCCAACGCGCAGCATTAACAGAGAAGCCAGGGCGAGAGAGCAAACTACAGGAAGGCTTAGACTTCTTACCTACAGCTGAGCCAAGGCACAAACATGGAGAAAGATGAGGCCAGAGGTAAACGCCACTGCAGGGAGCTAGAGCCCTGTATCTGAACCAGCTGATGCAACAGCCAGTTTTACTGTTTGAGGTGTACAACGAGTGGTTTATGTGTGGGAGTCAGATTTGTAAAGCAAAAAGATAAGGGTATAACATGGAAAAAGAAAAGTGTTCTGAATATTTTCCACAGAAGAGATTCTAAGTTAACTATCCATGTAAAACTTGTATCAAAACTTTCACTTTACTGGGCCGGGGACTTAGCTCAGTGGTTTCGCCACCTGCTGCGCAAGTGCAAGAACCCAAGTTCAATCCCCGGTACCAAAAAACAAAACAAACAAACAAAAAAACTTTCACTTTACTGACTTTATATAATTTCCTTAGGCAAAAGGAAGGCTTAAATGTGGTCAGTTTCGTACCATATTTGTATGGGTCCCATGAGAATAGGGTTACCTAAGATGTACAGTCTTGAAATAGAAGATTTGGGGCTTTGACTGTTGGGAAATACGACAAAGCACACTTTTCAGTTCAACACCTAATCTAATACTTCAGTCTAAGCGAAGGAGTCCATATTTCCAATGTTGCAGAGGTGCCATATTTCCAATTTTCATTTTGAGCTTGTCTAAATAAACTCCTGGAAAATTTACCTTCAAGAAATATTATGTTCTTAAAAAGAATAATGATTTAATTTTTTGAAAAAAACTCTAGGCCCAGAACCTCTCAAACTAATGCTAAATTTTTAGAATTTTAAAATTATTTAGATTCCAAAGTCCCACTTTCTAATATTCCGCATAATGATTTTAATTTAGAATCATAGATGATTCTATTTTTCAAAAATTAATCTTGATTGAAGAATACTAGCAATAAGAATTGTGCATTATACCTGAAAGGTCAGTTGATGGGTTGCAGTAGATAGAATAGTTCTGATGATTTGAGTGGGGAGAAATGGTTGTTTACGTTTATTTTGAATATTGTTAGTCCAGTTTTACAGCCTGGTCATCACGTTATGAGTCCTCTGTGAGACTGCTAGCAGATCTGTGTTTGCTTCACTGACAACATTCTGTCCATTTTGACTCTAGACGTAGGTGCCAAATGCAAATATTGTCACCATAATAACTTGTGAGCTTTGTCTATGAGATTTTATTCACTCCTACTAAGCAGACTTAACTTTCTTATTGTGTGCCTCTAGGATACAAAGTTAAAAACCTTCAAAGGAAAAAGCACTTGTAAATTGAATGAATTTTAAGCAGTGACAGCATTATTATATTCCCTGAGCAGGGCAAGGTTTCTTTTCCCAAATCTCATGCTTATTAATTAGACTGCAAAATTAGATTTAAAACACTAGAGCCACTCAGAAGAAAATTCTTTCCGAACTGTAGACTTGGATGAAACAGGATATGAAACTCTAGAGGATGATTTATACATTCCTCAAAATAAAGCCTATTCATGTGCCTCACATTTCAAAATGTGGTTTGTTTGACAGATTGTTATGGTAGGTTCTTGCGTGATAACTTTTATGAATGTCATACTTTGGCTAAGAAGTGATTTTGCTAGACTTTGGGTTGTTATTCTGCTTCATAGGAATATGTCTGACACAAAAGGGGGTGTGAGGCTTCATCATACTTCTCAGAGAAAACTGAGGTGCACTGAATTCAATCACCTAGGATGAAATGATGTATGTTTAAGTTGAACACGTGTAGGGCAGGAGCTCGGGAAATGAAGAAAGAGCAGGTAAGACAAACACTCAAAAGAGAGAGGGAGAGGGAGGGAGGGGGGACAGAGAGAGGGGGGGGGAGAGAGAGAGAGAGAGAGAGATAAGAATAAAGAATAGCAAATTTAAAGCCAAAGCATGGGGCCCCTCCAAACCAACTCAGAAGTAACTACCACCACTGTGAATTATCACCAAAAGATACACAAGAACCTGAACAAAGCTGTGTTTTTAGGCCCAAGTTCAATCAGGAAGGATATGTATATAATTTCCTTGTTTCTGTACTCAGAAAAGCGCAGAGAATGAAAACATGCTTTGGAAGCTTGGGTCAAATTTGTCTGGTGGAGTCAGAGCAGGGTGGTTTGCAGAGGCCTCCAAAATTAAGTGGGTTCATAAGCCTTTCTCTAATGGTCAGAACAATGATGGAAAAAGAGAACCACTCTATCCTAAGAAGGTACTAAGTAACAGATTTTAGTGAAAACATACGGTTTCTTGTACACAAAGTAGCCCATCCAACAAAGCGGTATCTGCACACCCTCAAAAACTTAGGGTAGCTTTAGGAACTCCAAAATCTGTGGCCATAGGCCATTAGCCAATATTGGAGGTCTTACACAAGTGATACTGGTAGAAGGTCAAAGCTATGTAGCATGTAAACTCTTTTTAGCCATACCAGAATAGTTTTCTTTTAGATACAATTACTATGTTTTGTTAATGAAAATATTTAAAGATGCTCAAATTCCCAGGAAATTTAATCACACAGATGTATGTGCTCATCTTGTTTACAAATGTTAAGCTTAGCCACCTTTTTACAGTAGTTATTTCACTCTAGGATATTATTAACTGTGTACTGGATAATATGGAAATAAATATAATTAATGAAAACTCCCAGCAAAAGGACAATGATAACTTTGAAGAGTGATAGAATTTAATTCTCTTTTCTTACAAATAAAATATGTAATATTCTCTTTTTCTCTATCAACTTTAAGGTTTTGCTGAGAAAAAGATAACTGTGGTGCTTCCTATTCATCGTCACATTAATAGTCAAACAAATATTCTGTCAAAATAGACAAACGGTTAATTGTAATCTCATAAGACTATCTCAAATGCTCTATCTCTTCCCAACTGTCTCATTTTGATGAACATGGATTATTAGAAACAAACATATACTAGTGAAGAAGTATGGACATAAGTCATCTGAAATGCTCAATCATATTTTGGCTCTGTAAAAAAGCGCCCTCTTCTAAGTATGCATTGGTGAGTTGGTTTGCAAAGGAAAAACTGTGCATGAAAATGTCATTGAAACAAAGAATAAGGCCTTCACCCTGACAGCGTTTTTGCTAGTTAACATGTCTTTGTGAGAGATGTATGTATGGATCTGAGCTGATTTTTTAATTTGGTTGGGTGAAGCCATCTTTAAGTGCCTCTGTTATTCATGCTTACATTTAATATTCAAAACACCTACCAGTTACATTACTGAATAATACAAGTGGTGTAGTAAACAAACAAAACAGTGACAGTAATGAGTTCAAACAGATACACTGATGGAATACATAGTATTTCCTATTCTTCATACCTGTGTATTCAGGTGGGCAAAGACACGTGTAGTTATTAATTCCATCAACACACGTGGAATTATTTTCACAGTCATTATCTTCACAATCATCGACATTGACCTCACAATTTTCTCCTTCAAATCCATCAGCACAAATACACCTGAAAACCAGAAGCAGAAAGGCAAAATACTTCTTTTTGCTGCACTTTAAAGCCATGCTATCAAAATATTGAAAATAAAAGCATGAATAGGTCATCAATTACAGATCCTTTAACTACAAGAAATTGATTTTTAAATTGCTTTGAAAAGACATGTTTTGAGTTCAATTTAAAATAATATCCAACAAACCAGAAAATATTAAAAAATAAAAATTAAGCTAGCTGCAAGATGGCAAATAGCTCCACAGTCTTAAAAGACAATAAACCCAATATACTGCCAGGTCTGAAATGGCAAAGGTTGCATCCACAGCCCTACACATCTTAAAATCAAATTGGGCTCTAGTAAAATAATTCATGTTTTTTTGAAAGGGAAGTGGCTCTGATTTTAAAAGTTATATCGTCTACCACCCTGTGCAATGTCCTTGATATTTTGTACCAGAAAGAAATCAAAAAACTAAATTTTATCTTCCAAGACTTCTACACTAGCATAAATCATTGTGCATTTAATCTTGAACATGTATCAGAATAATTTTCGAGTAAAGTTTAGATGAATAAAAGAGAATTTTGTAACAGAGGTGAAGTATAGGTCTTCTAAAATGTGATTTCTAGTAAGATTTAGTAGTAGATTAACATTCTTAGGGGAAATTATTAGTGTCAATAAAGAACTCTTTCATACTTCATTAAGTACACCTGAGGTAAATGCACCATATGATTAAATAGTTCCAGATGAGAAATGTTCATAGGATGTTTGTCTACTTATACTGTGGGATGTGAATGAATCATTAAATTAATGTTTCATTGGGACCCACATATTATCATTACAACCTGTCTGCTAACGCAGTAAGCAAATCTAGGTGAATACAGGACTTTCAGTAAGGCACTACTGGCTATTAATTCACATAACTGAACCAATACTCAGTCTTGGCCTAATCTGACTTGATTAGTCATAATGTTGTATGGACCTGCTCTTAAATTTTTGATATTGGAGCATCCTCAGCTGGGAATCCTGTACCATCTCCATTTGTTTTTAATATTACAATCTCTGAGAGATACCACTACATTTTGTCCTTATTCTCATATTCCTTTTAAAAATGCCCCCACACTTAAAAAGGAAAATGCTGGTTGTTTGGTTGTTCTTGTTCCGATACCTCAGACACAGGAGACCAGAGAGCCTAGTGACCTACCAGAATCCATCCCTTTCTCCTTCTTTTAAGTGACAAGTTCCTCCATGTTTACATGGGTTACTGATGCATGCATGAATCGGGATATCACAATCTTGCCCCTGGAGAAAGAATAACCAAGTAAAGCTGAATGCAAATAATGTAGTTCTCAGCGCTAGAGAAAGCTTAGTGGAAGACTCAAATCATATCAAGGAAAGCAGTGTTTCCAGGCTGTAGCTCCCACAACAGATTCCACTTACCTTGAAACCATATGGACAGGTGCATCGGTAAAAGTCAACTGGATCATTGTTACAGGTGCCATCATTTTTACATGGATTCGATAAGCAGGGATTGCATTTAGCAAGAATATTGACATCCACAGGACCTAGAAGTTAATTGAAAAATATAAAAAATGGATGCTTTCTCTTTATAGTTTATCTGTTCTTTAACATAACAGTGAATTTTGTATGAAATTGTTGGTCACATGCCTATATATGTTTCTTTTCCTTGATGAAAACTAAAATCAGTAACATCATAGCATGTCCAAGTATGCAATGGGAGTCCTTATCACTGGCAGGTACTCTGAGACTTTCTGAACCACTGGGAGTCTGGGATGGTAGCTTGGGTCTTTGTAGCTAATGTTACTAATGATACCCATGCCACAGGGTGAATCCTCTTAGAGAATGACTCATTTATGTAAATGCATTCCATGGCGACCACCTATATCTCAACCTCAGCCAGCTTCATGGAAATGTATGCCATAGTTTCCAGAGAGGAATACGTAAATAGTGGTGGTGTGGTTTTTATAAGTAGAAATCCATGACTGCAACTGAAAGCAGCATAGAGCACACTTGCCCAGGAACATTACCTCAGTACTGTTACTTTCATACAGGGGATACAAAACAATGTTCTTATTTTTCATTGTGAGGATGGAATCCAAGATCTCACATATGCTAAGTATGCACTCTACCACTCAGTTACACCCAGTCCTAGTGCTACTTTTATGCATATGGAAATCAAAAGTGTAGGCTCCATTATATTCTCCATCTTATCATTTTGATTCATTACTTGAGTGGCACAGTACATGATGGATGAGGATTTCATATCTTGTTCTCCAAGAATAAAATTCCACTGAAATGGCTTCTATTTGTAGGCTCACATGGTCCTAGGTTAAATGGAGAATTAGCTGCAGCAATTTCCCGTAAATTCCACTTATTTACTGAGAAATGACTAACAATCGGGACACTGAGCTGTTCTCAATAACATTGTTTCACTGATGTTACTTTTTGCACTGCTGCTGAAAGATCATGAGCTTCCCTGTTGATAACTGTTCTGATTAGGACAACTGGAGACTAACATCTTTTTACATATCAAATACAAATCTTCGATAGCATAAATATTCATTATAGTTTTCCTGTCACCAGTGTCCCTGCAGCTCTTTATCTTCATGGGAACAATAAGTGATAAACTGAATTCTATGTTTCATTACAAACTAATCCTTATAAAGTTATTTGGATAATTGTATAATGTAATTGTATAACATACCCTCCACCTCTACTATCACTGCCATGATCTGTGGGAACTAACTTCATGGCACCCCCAAATGCATGACTTATGCTCATACAAACTATTTTTCATAAACTGATTCGATAAATTAGAATTTATGGTTGTAAGTCATCTAACAGTGAACATACAAGGTGAACAGACTAGACTCTTAATCTCTCTTCATAGCCCTTACTTTAGAAAATATTAGTACTCAAATTATGGTTTTCTATTAAAATCCATAAAATTGTTATATATTGTGCAGTTTTTCTGCTTAGAAAACAAAACAAATCTAAAAAAACAAACAAACAAACCTGCTGGAATAAGGCTACACAGAATTTCTGATTCTTTTCAAGGTCTGGGAACAGAGGCCAACTCTTGGATTGGCTGTGTTAGTTGGAAGGGGTGGTGATTGCTCCCAGTGACACCGGAAGTTACCAGGAGAGAAAATGTAAATGCCACTATCCCTTCCACTATTTTTTTTGGAACAAGCTACCTAGTCCAATCTCTGAATCAAACTGCAGGTTAGAATTGCTAGGATTAATTCTGAGTCCCATAGAAGTTAAATTTATTAAAGGCCAAAATTCAGCTGTTCAGTATAATGGATAAATCAATGGTGTTGGCTATTCAAAAAAAGTTAATTAAATTAACACGATACCTCAAAATGAATGGTTTTGTCTTTGCTAAAATCATACTTAGATTCAGCCCTTGGAAAGGAAATAAAATCCACAGTTGACCCTGTGGTTGGAGAAGAATAGAATTTGAAACAAAGGTGTAGGCTGAAGATCTGAGAGTACACACCATCAAAATACAGGTCTGCACATTCAAGGCCTGTAAACACTCATCTGGCCACTTCCAGAGGCTTTGAAGAAAAATGCCTTTAGGTATTTCTCTGCTTTCAAACATGCTAGACTATGATGGGGCCAGAGGAGTCCAGGGTTGGAATTACTAAATTCATTGTGGAGAACATGACTGCTTTCAACAGTTATGTTTGAGTAGATGAGAAGCTAGATTTTTCTTTAGGGAAAACCCTGAGTACATTTAAGAACCTAACAGTGTACATAATTAACAAAACGACTAGACTGAAGTAGACCTTGTCTCCCTTATCACACACAAGATTTACTTAATAAACATCCATTGAACTATACCTGAATTATAAGCACTATCTAATTTCTCCCTTTTTCCCCAGGAGCAAATTTAATATCCTATATTGCTAATTGTGTTGCATTATTTTCATATCCAGAATTATATCTATAATTTTGAGTATATAAAGGGAGAATTGTCAATTTGTATATATTCAGTTTAGCTGAATCAAGGTAATAAGGTTTCTCAATCCACAAATCTCTTCTGACAATTTCTTAACTTGCCATATTGTTTTATTGGCATTTGTTTTGGGAATGTGGCAAAATATCGAGTTCTTACATCAATGGGTAGGGTTGACTGTTACAACTACCATCCTATTGTTCCTCCTTTTTTTTTCCTTCTTTTGCAGTTAGAGATTGAACCCAGGGCCTTCACACTGAACTTAATTCATAGCCCTTTTTATTTTTCATTTGGACAGAGTCTTGTTAAGTTGCTCAGGCTTAGCTGAAGCTTGTGATGCTCCTGCTTCAGCCTCCCAAAGTTCTGGGATTACAAGTGTGCATCACCATGCCTGGCTCCTGCTTTTTATATCTTTCTTTTAAAGTCAGTTCATCAAAGATAGCTTCTTATTTCTAGAACTTGAGTTTGAATACATAAAAGGTAATTAAAAATGTTTTTAGGTTCTATGAATTTCAAACAGATATTCTCTGATATTTCCAAATGCCTTAAAGTGATATAAACCTTTTCCCATTTTATTTAGATTATAGATAAAACTATATATGTATAAAATTATACCTAAAATCATAATATTATAATAATATTATTTTTACATTTAGCTTGTTTCTCTAAGTCTACTTATTTCTCTAGTAGAATCCATAGGGACTATATCCTTTGTATTTAGGTCTCTCTTCTCATTCATCTTTCCACCTATATTTTGCTTCTCTTTTATCTTCTATTTTTTATTTGAATTTCAATTTGTGATTCATTTTCTCAGAGATCCTGTCCTGATATCTTCAGACTCAAGGAGAATATGTTTAATCTGTTTAAACCATGAAATGGCTGAGGCATCAGCATAGCTCTCTGGGAACAAACTGATACTTGTAGAATTTTGTGTACTTGATTAGGCTCAAGTTAAAAAAAAAAAAAAAGATGTCCAGAAATGAGAATCAGGAAAGTCTTTTAGAGTAACACATAGTAATCTTGGACATTCAATTTTAAGACTATGAACCCACATTTTCAACCAGATTTGTGACATAAGTGTGTGACATTAGGATAATGGTAGTCACCTCAGTGAGTTGTTTTGAGCATTAAATGAGATATTTGTGAATGTCAAGTAGGAAACCTAATGAGATCAAGCACAGAAACCTCATGAAGGACTGACACTCTTTCCTAGACTTCCAAAGAGTGTTCTGGGTTAAAGCAAAAGTGATTGTCTTAAAAGGAGAAAGACAGTCCTTTGCTGATTTGTCCAAATCTTCGTACAGACAATGGCAACTCAGAGCTTGCCATTTATGTTTCATCCAGAGTTCACTGCACTGATCACCTTCTATATGTGCTAGAAGATAAGATTTCTTAACTGGAGGGGCAACCATGGAAACCATGAGGAACAGAAATGGGCATGAGAAGGTAACTGCCCACTGGGTAACATCACTTGGAGTTGGTGATTTTTTGTTGTTAAAGAATACAACTCTGATTTGGGAATTGGACAACCACCAGGTGTGACAGAATAAGAAGCAGGGGATGTTCTCTTTGTTCTTGCATGGCTACTTGGAAGGCGACTGCAATCTTCAAGACCTTCTCATTTTTAAAGCTAACTGGTTCCAAGAAGTGCTAAAGAACCACCAACAAATTAGCGCTCATGAGATGTGTGCCACAGCGATGAAAAGAAGCCTTGCTTCCAAAAGACAGATATTTTCTACTGTCACTGAAATGAAGGAAGCGAGTCCTGGCTAACTGGATTGACTTAAGATGTGGTCTTGACTTAAGAAAGAACTATAGTACCAGCTATGTGGGTGGAGGTGTGTTTAGATTAATAATTCAAAGAGAAAATGAGGAGAAAGTTTGGTTAACAATCTGTCTCTGTCACTTACTTTAATCTTTAATGTAAGAACTACTGGACCTCAAATCCATTAAAGCTTGCAGGCAGACTTGCTTACTTGACTCAAATCACTAGCTATGCACCTGACACCAATACTGCCATCCACTGAGGATTAGATCTCACTTTGATTTATTACCAAAAGCTCCAGATAAAAATTTCTAACTTATACCAGAATCTGCCTTCATTCTGGCATCCCCTGGAAACACGAGTCCAATAACAAAATCCTCTAGCGCTGCCCTTGGATAAAGCCAGAAGCACATCAAAGATGGCTCAAGAAACATGTAGGCGATATTTGATGTCAGGCGTAATGAACTGTAAGGAAGCTTTTATATAACTAGTGATTTTAATGCTATCACTGAATTTCTTAAGCATTAATATCAAAGGTATTTATTAAGAGTCCATCATTAAATCATTCATTTATCAAATATGTATGGAGGATCTACTTTGTGCCAGGGCAGTAGGATAAGTTTCAGGCTATCAAACCAAGGCAAATGCCTGAGTTTCTGGAAACCCATTTCAGCAGTAGAGACACACATGTATGAATGAGAAAAGAATTTGGAGACTGGGAAAGCATAGTTTGAAATATCTTTTAAATTTTTGCAACCATTAAGGAGGAGAAATCTGAGTGACTGGAAATATGAATTTGAAGTTTATAATAAAAG